CTTCACTCACAATTCCACTTTCCTCAATCATTGCATATATGCGTAATTTGCAGATACATATCGGTACGATATATGAATGTTCATTGAGCATGTGCCGCGTATCTTTTTTTTTCTGCTAAGCACATCATGGATTTAATGAAGAATAATAACTAAAAATCTCTATTTATTTAAAAAATAATAACGTATAAAATTTATGATAATAATCTTAAGACTTTCTGAAATTTCTGTCTATTAAAAATAATTTTTAGAAAAAGTATCTCTTGCTGAATTTTTCCCTATTCATTCTTTTAGTAAACTTTTCATTTCTTTCCAGCTAAACTTTTTTTCTCTGTTAATATTAAATATTTTATCAAATATTAACGAAAATTATATATATTAAAAATACAAAATAATAGTTGTGAATGAAATAACAATATATGCTAAAAATAAAATTTATTCGTAACAAGTGCGATTCGTTTACTTTTAGCACAACTTGCTTTCCGATTGCTGTTATTATACGTAGGTTTCACTTAAAATTAGATATTCACCTAAATTCCTGGATTTCAAAGCACCACGCCGGTGCATTAGAAATGATGGCGTGATTATCTATCCGCATGCTGCGGGAGGGTGAGGGTTCACAAAGTGACGGTAAGGGTGGCCTAGTGGTAAATGGCTAGGGTCATCGGGGAATATCGTAGTTACGCATTAGAGGGACACAGGGCACAACTGCTCTCTGATAGGTTAACGATATTACTCGACTAACGACGAAACTCTATACTATCGAACTATTCCAGACGTTCGCCCTATCAAAAGACACGGAGGAAATGCATTAATTCAAAATGTAGTATCGTTACGATTATGTGTTTAAGTTTGTAACAAATATCACTCAAACTTTAATCGTATTCTAATCTACTTTGATAATTTTTTATTGAAAGTTACAGTTTGATTACAAAAATGTTACTAACGTTTAAGCTGTATGTATGTTAACGACACCATCGAGCGTTTAATTGTTCTCTTACCGAAATGTAAATATAATTAAATCCAGCTGCAAAATTAAACAAACCAATTAATTATCGGATTTTTTATTTTACGTGTCACCGCGAACGAAAGAGTAGCGAAAGATGCTCGTAGTAGAGCGAATTCCCTCAACAATTTCCGAGAAAAACGCTTTGACACCATGGAGGTCGCGCAATCCGTTTACCATCCATTTTGGTATGATGCATCACAGCATCGCTCGCAATGACAAATCCGCTTCTGCTGTCGGCTGCGTTTGTTTCCCGATGCATTGCGACGACCACGACATATAAAAATCTCTAGGTAAGCATAAAAAAAGAGGGAATGAAAGGAGGAGATAGTGAGAGAAGAAAGAAAAGGAACATTAGAACGTAAATCCGCACCATTTTTTTCACTATTGTTATAATCATCTTTCTGGAGAGCTTTAACTAATTCTCGCATTCAAAAAAATGCGCTTGTCATATACAGCAAAAATCTTTCTTTCTTGTAAGAGCAACACTTTACAAAATGTTAATTAGTAAAGTGGTACTACATTTCCAGATTTCTTAATTGTGTACGATACTTTTAAAGGATTAAGTTTTTAAATAATAATGTTTCCAAATAAACATGTTTATATTACATATGTAATTATTATAAATAATATCAGAATTTTTATCACGATTAATATATATCATAAAAAGTAAAGTGAAGAAAGGCTGTGAGAACTAAAACGCAGATAAGGAGTAAAAAATTCTATTATCCATTAATACAAAGCAATGATACCGATACAAAATTATTTACCGGTTACAATCCTACCGGACTAAAAAGAGTCTGAAATTAGGCTGAAATATTTCGGTAATTCTGCATTGGTATTATTGTTTCGTATTAATTGATGATAGAATTTTTTGCGCCACAACATCCTGATGCTTTGATTTTTTTTAACCTTTTTTCCGTTCACTTTTTTTGTTATTATAGAATCATGGACACGCATCGTTCTATATATCACATAAATCATCGCGTATATCTTTATAAATTAAAGATTTGAATTGCTCAAGTACATTTTCCTAGTAAAATCCCGCAATCAGTGGTCATTGATTCGCAAACGATAACATCGACGATTGTCGACGTAACTATATTGCAGGGATTAGTAAATAACGTCGACATAACATACCTACATGTCGTAATAATTGAGTTCATGAACAGCAAGCCGGGATAGATCACTGATTACCTATTGATGTACCTTGTTGCCATCGCAAATCTATTCGGAATTAACGCTGCATTATGACGTGAACATCGTCAAAACATAAAGATATTTCGAGCATTCTGACACGCATCCAAATGATTCTACTAACTTTTCTTTATATTATTGCATCAAAGAACAATAATATTAAAATAATAATTTTATGCAATCCCAATTACATTCACGTAAGATTTTATAAAAATCTATCCAACATTATTTTACTTCCATTGAACTTGACAATGTTGTATTTTTATTTATTTTTAAAAAGGCTTTTTAAAATGCAAAATATCCATTTCTTTTAACTTTTATCTATTTGTCAAAAAATTTCCTGTTACCAGTGCAATCAGTTAAAATGTGGAGAAATGTAGGTCTTGTTTGATAAACTCCTAGTGCATACTTTTAGAAAGCCTTCCACGTTGTACCCGTATCATAAAAATAAAGTTTTTAGAATATTATTTTTCTAATACATATAAACTGTTGCTCACAACAATGTTTTTAATAATAAATTTATAATAGATTAAAATAATTTTTGAAAATAATACGAGTAAATTATTTTATTGTATATTGATATAAATTTTATTATTATATAAAATATATGAGTAATAAAAAACCTTCAAAAAATTGTGTTTGTATTAAAACTAAGAGATTAATATAATAAAATTTATTTTAATAATATCGTAAAATTTTTAATTATTTTTGATTAACATTAACCAGTACGTCTCTCTAAAGTTTCAAAGGATAGATAATTATCTTCTTTATTAAAAAAAAAGAATTAAAGATATTCATAATTGATTGTTATAAAATTTATTGTATATTATAAAATAGATGTGTATGGATTTAATCTTTGAGGTGTGATTTGTCAGTGTTGAAACTTTCAATCCAATCTTGCGATATCATATCGGTACATTATGGAATCAGCACCGTAATCTGCAATTCGATGTAATTAAAGCGCATGAGGTGAGCAGATAACCGCGGCATGGCGATGCCGCGTCATATCCATGGTTTCATTGAATTCGTGGCATCGAGCCGGAGTAGATCATTAATTACCTATTACTGACACCCTTGCGGTACAGTTAGCACCATTACTACGTTAAATTGCCATAACCGCCGAATCCTTTGTTGTAACGAGTAATAAGATTAAATTACCGTCACTCTAAAGCTTTAACAGTAATTTAACAATAACGCAATGTATTGCGTAATATGTACCTCTTTTTAAAAAATTCTTCAGTTTCACAGCTCATTGACCAAGTCTTGTTAATCTATCCAGAATAAAGGATAAGATTATTATTATAATAATTCTAATTATATAACATGATTGTTAATATATCGTTTTAATTACGTTTGAATTAAAATTAAAATTCTAATACGGTCTATAATTGATCACTTATGGCGTAATATTATTTCAAATAAAAGTATAAAATTTTTGTAAACATATTTTAATATACTTGACAGAATGTGTTGTAAAAAATCGTTATTCTATTTTGATTGTTTATATATTACTATTTGACGAATCATAAAACTTTGCTTTTGTTTTAATAAAGACGAGTTTGCAATCTATGCCTGATTACGAATTATGGTACAAAAAAAGAAATCTTGAGTCTGATAATCGTTGCACACTCCCCCGTTATCTAACAAACTCCGATTCTCCGCATACGCACCACTTCAGCGCTCGTTAAACTTAACTAAGCGCACACCATTCTTTCGAATGATTTCCGGCCGTAATTTCCAACAGCCGGCTAACGCTAGATAAGCCCGAGACAGGACCTCGGAAAGAGACGGGTCGATCGGATGAGAAGGATGGAAAATAGCGGATAGGCGGGAGCAAAAGGGTGGACGGCATCTGGTACGGTGGGTCTGGGTTCCGCCTTTAACGTGTTGCCGCGTCAGCGTTACACCCCTGCCAACCCCCGTTGCGATTTACTGCTAAATAATATCTAAACAGCCGCATTCACCATCCTCACTCTACGCTTCCGCGCACCTCCTCCCTCCTCCTCTCGTACCAGGATGCTGTCAGTCTGGATCGACCCGAGCACATGGCCTTTCTACTCCGCCAACCGCCCCCGCCGATGTAGATCGACTCGCATCAGTGACAAGATCGTTCCACTCGCTCGCTCGCTCGCTCGCTCGCTCAACTTGATACGTTTAGTCCCGCTAAATATTTGCGTTGATTAACAATCTACCCCTCCCTCCTCTCTACCCTCCTCGAGGGAGAGAGGTCGAGTACGCAGCGCGAGCGCGTTGGCTTTCTGGTTAGCGACCTGGTGTCGAGGCTCGCAACTGCGCCGACTGCACCCATAGCGCGCGGCGGCTGCTGCGGCCAACGGTTGCCTGGCGCCAACGGTTAATCAACGGTCCACCTCGGCGACTCGCGCCGCCACGTATTCACCCCGAAACGCCTCCCTATGACGAGTTGTCGCCGCGTCGCGGTTTGTCCCACCGATCGCCCAACGCGCTTTAATTATACCGGCTGCACCGAATTATGTTGATACGGCCGTGATTGCGGTCATCGAGTTAGATCGCGTTAAGCGGTATCGCGCGAGCGGCGCGGCGGACCAAACGCGGTCGTCGATCGCGCATTGAAAGTTCGATCGACGCGTATCGTTGCGCTCTTGAATCATCAATGAATCAATGAATCGTGAAACCATGATAGGTGTCAAGGGACATACAATCATGTCTTGATTACAATAATATTATAATATTGTAATAATATTATGTTCTCACGCGTATAGTTTTTGTAAATAGTTCGACAAATTATATTAATCGAAATACATATGAATATATGACACAATTTTGCTGCATATTACTATTTATTTCAGGGACTACACAAGTTTTTAGTTTTGTTAATATAGTGTAAATATAGGTAGGGTGCTAATAAAATTTAACATCTCGGTACCATTTGCTTCAGCCAAAATTAGACTTTTCTATGTCTTCACGTGTATTGCACCGTTAAACGTCGGCCTTGACGGCTTTGGTCTCCTGGTCTTACTGATTCTTGTGGTAATCTTGGTCGTTCTTGTTGTTGTCCTTGTCCTGGTCTTTGTGATCTTTGTGAAAATTCTTGGTTCTAAAAGAAATCAAATAATTCAATAATTATATCATCGGATAAATCACCGCAAATCCTATTATCACGATCAATACTAGAATCGATAGTTACAGAACGTTTATCAGCTCCCTTAGGTTTACCAGATCTACCACGTCTACCAGATCTACTAAGTCGATCAGATTTATCAGATTCATTAGATCCACTAGATTCACTAGATCCACTAGATTCACTAGATTCACCAGATTTACGAGATCCATCAAGTTTATCAGATTTATCAAGTTTGTCAGATTTGTCAAGTTTGTCAGATTTGTCAAGTTTTTCAGATTTGTCAAGTTTTTTAAGTTTGTCAAGTTTGTCAGATTTATCAAGTTTGTCAGATTTGTCAAGTTTTTCAGATTTGTCAAGTTTTTTAAGTTTGTCAAGTTTGTCAGGTTTATCAAGTTTATCAGCTGCAGTAGGTATAGAAGCTAATCCATCACGATTTTCACTAGATTCACTAGATTCACTAGATTGTTGTGCCTTTATGAAAAAAATAACATATCGTTTTTTTATACATTCTCTGAAAACTGATAGATGAGCAATAAAATTTGAATAAGTACTTACAGATTCCTGGATTATGGCGCAAGCCACAATTACCACGATGAGACACACCACTGCTGTCTTCATATTGCAATCTTACGTTTTCACTGGTTATGCTACAGTACAGTAGCAATATTCATACCACTTATATTTATACCATATTATTGAGTGACAACCTATTTGTTAGGCATTGATAAACAATGGAACGCACCTGTTTTGCCACTTGTGTAACATGGTAATATCTACTACCTAATAATAATTAACAATTTCATAATATGTCAATTTGTTTCGCATTCTTTTGAATACATACGTTGTTGGTATATAATTGTCGGACACGTGTACACGATAACGACGTCAGACAAGTGTGTATTAATTCAAACAAATTCCAACGTTAAAGAAACGTTTGTCATCTTTAAAAATAAAACTGCGCCATTTTTTAGCATCTCTCAAATTTAAGCTTTTCTTTAGATGAATGTAAATGAGATGCCCAAGCTGTTTTTTTTTATACATCACCTTACGTTTGCATAAACTCCAAATTGCAAAATGTCTGTGTTATAGATTAACTACTCAAAGTCTTTGTAAGATTATGCAGTTGATAATTATCGGATGCAATATATAATTTCTATAAAAAGCATTGCGTTCGATATTTAGAATCGAAACAATGTAAATTACAACGTGCCGTGACAGCGGAACGGAATCGAGAAGTATACGTGATACGTGATACGTGAAGTTGCGTATATACCGACGCGCGATTTGTTATCCCTTGTGTACTGTCATTGCAGGTCGTGTTTCACCCGAAATCCAGATTCACCGCTTTGTATTGTCCTCATATTTACATCATGCTGCCTTCATCTGGGCGAGAGAATTAGGAGCATTTTGGACCGCCGACGCGTATGTTTCGTACACTGCCAGCGAGGACGCAGATTCTAATTACAATCCGGAACTAGTGTATTGAATACTTCATTGAAAACGGATTCAATCGCTCGTGTTATGATATTAGCTGATATTCATGTTACTAGTTACGAAGTTAGAAGGGCGAATTCAAGTAAAAAGTGGCTCAGTTTTTACCAAATAACAATATTTTATCAAATATTTATATTATCGCACAATGCAAAGTAATATATGCAACTTAATACGCATGCCATTATATTAAGTACAATTGTTAAATACAATTCTTATTCATAAATGACAATGTGCACATCTTTTTTTTGAGCCAAAACATTGTAAAAAAAATTTGACGTTTAAAAAAGTCACTTGATGAACGTATGCAAATTATTGAGATTTAGGCTGGCTGCAATTTCAAAAATTTCAGCAAATATGCAAACAAGAGTGTCATTGACTCAGCTTTAAAGCAAATTGATGGACGTTGACAAATCCATCGAGAGAGCTCAAGAGAGAGAGAGAGAGAAAGAGGGAGAGGGCGAGAGGGAGTATACAGGACAAGGCAGGAGAGCACCAAATGGGTAACCGTTGCAGGTGCATCAATGTATTCAGTAAACTAACAGGAGACCCCAGCTGCAACCGGCAGCTTCTATCTCTACTAATTAGGATGACGACAACGCCCAATAAGAGTCCTTTCGAATACGAGTTTCATAATGAAAAATATATATCTCAAAAGGATATAATATTTTATTTTATGTAGTATATTAAGCGAACAAACAGGAGAATTTTCCTAGTTATGTCTTATTTTTATTTTAGCAAATTTAATAGATTAATGTTTAAAAAACTTTGCATATTAAAACAAAAAAAGTCGAATATTAAATGCATTATTAAATATATCAATGCTTGTGTGACATTTATTGCAATAGACAATTCCTTTCTGCATAAAGTATCATAAATTTAAGATGGAAACCTGAAAGAATGCATCATTTTCGCTTCGTACTTCAAGAGATAAAAACAAGTATCACGCTTTGCTCAGTTCCGACAATATTCTATTTCCAAGTTCTATATTCCTTCCTTTATTTATTACGTTACATTCTACTCGCCCCGCTTTTTCTTTTATTTCCGCCGCGCCGCACTTCTATCTTTGCCTCTGTCTTCCACGTTTATGCGCGCACTTATATATATATATCTCGAACAAATGCTTCCCGTTGTTAACGTTATTGCTCTCGCTCGGAAACTGTCGGATGAATTTCGAGCGGTCTGACAACCGGCTCGATTATGTGACGCGAGAATCTCAAATGATTCGCGCGCGCGAGTGTACCGTTGCGCGACAATTCTCACCGGTAAAGTTGCTAATTAAAATAACTAGAATGCCAAGAATCTGCAAAGTGCAATTAAGATGCGAGATGATCGTCTTTCGACAAAGATTTTTCGAAATTGTCTTATCCAAAAGAATATCTCATTATTACGTGTGTTACGTCAACACAAATAGTTATTTCAGCAATTTTATCAATTTTTTTATAAAGATTAAACTGAAAAATCGTATTGTATAGTTTTTAAATATCGCAATTATTTGATTTAATTACAATTGTTATAAAAATTATCATTTAATGTTTTTGTAAAACAATTATGTTCTTCAATAATGTATGATTCTATTGTTTAAAAAAAAAAAACAATAGTTGTTATTTTTCTTTCAAAGATTTTTGGATATGTTCCAACAAGATAATAGGTTTTTCTTTACCGATAAAGGCTGTGAGAAAAAATGCTCGTTATACTGTGATTATTAAATGAAAATTATTAATTAAATTTGATGAAATAATTCAGATCTATCGTCTAACAAGATTGTCAACTCTTTAGCTTACTATCAAATTTTCTTATTAACTAATTTATTCAGTTTGAATCCTTCGTGCTATCATATCTCTTTCGCTATTCCATCCTTCATCCAGTGACTTACATTCGCTTCGAAACGTAAATCATAGTTCAAGCACCCGATCAAAGCTTGTACTTCTGGCTAGCAGCTCAGACGGATTTGGCGGTCATATAACGGAGGAATTTCACCGGGTTAGTAGCGCCGAGGTGCACTCAGCGCGGCAACTATTCCCGCGGGCGCAACTGCCAACTTGCCCTTGTGCCCCTCGATTGCAGTCGCTAATTAGAATGGCATGAACGCTTGACCATAGCCGGAAGCAGGACGGCAATCAGGATCGGGATGATGACACAGCTACCTGCTCCTTTTACGATTCGGGCATTCGAATTACCTTCAGACTCTTCGGCGCAACTCGCTTTTGCAAGAAGCCGCGAGTTTTTTCCGCGAGAATCCGTATCAATCGCGGCGCCTTCCCTCTTTTCTCAAAAGCGTCTTATCGAGCATCGCTTTCATCTCATCACTTTTCTTTCTTTTTTGTGAAAACAAAAAAATAAACGGTACTTCTTTGACTCATTAATTTAATTAAGTTTGAATTTTCATGATTTTCTAATAGAGAAAAATTTAACAGCAATAAAAACAATGCGTTATAAATAACTTTGAGAGAAATTTTTGAAATGCATTATTGCTTTAAAAGTTACGTTCAATTTTAACTAATTATTTATTTGATCAGTTTTTTATGCTACTATTTTTTATATTAAATATGATATTTATTATACATAATATCATTCATGTTACTTCCAGTCAATTTAATTTTTGTGTAAAAGTTCGTGTCATAAAAGATTAACCGACGGTCATAGAATCAATCGTAATCGCTAATGAGAGTTTTCAGACAGCTTGAATGCTCAACCAGACGGAAATGCAATTGAATACGAGATGAGGATACTATCTTTTTTATGAGAGATCTGATTAGTATTCTCGGCAGTTGGAATTGATGTCAATTTGCTTGCAGCGTTAGACAGCGTTCGATAAAGATTTATTTTTTATTTTTATTATTCGTTTCTTATTCAATTACAATTTCGACGAATTTACTTAATATTATTTTTCGCTTTTAATATTATTGTAAGCGATAAGAAACGTGCCAAATTATTATGTAATAACATTCAAATACGAAACAGATTTTATGCAAAAGCTGCTAAATAAATTTCCGTAATTGCTGTAATGTGTAATTGCGTAAAAAAATTATGCAAATAATTCGCATAAATTTATGCATAACTAGTATCTTGTGTTCTCATTATTCAAAGTTTTATGTAGGTTTATTTACTAGCTGCGGGACAATAACCACACATTTAAACCGTTCAGTGAAACATAAATCGGTAAATTTTGCGAGACGTTTATAAAACGTTTATAAAACGAGTAGTTTTATGAATATTTCAACTTTTCACATAATTCTAAGCGACTTTCTAATTTCCGGGGAAAAAAGAAGATTCACGTTATTATTATGCTAGCGCGTCTCAATGCTGCGCTCAAATTATCTGTCATAATGTACAAAAGCTCCAACACCTGTTACTATCGTCCGTTCGTTTTATTGCAAAAATTCCATGCAACGCGAAATCGCGCTTCATACCCCGAGCACGCCTTTAACCCGAGGGGTATCCTGCGGAATCTCATAAATCGTAGACATTCTTCGCGTGCGTCCGGCCAACAGCCACGCGGATCGTGGCAATTCAATTACAATACCAATCTTTCATAAGAGCCTTCTAACGCAATCGCGCCTGTCAGCTCTGACGTGCCATCAGATAACCAAGCATATCGAAAACGCGTACGCACCTATCTCGTTGTCATAAAATTTCAACACCGCCGAGATGCCGAGAGAGATACGCTGCCAATCCTCCCACCTAAGAAATATTGCCGCCCTTACCTCTCCCCCGTCTCCACCACCCCCTTTTCCGCCGATCCATCGCGTTTTCGCATCTCTCAAATTATCGAGTAGAGCAAGTATTGACGAGATGCGCAAGGGTGCCTGTACGGGATTGCTTTTCGGGCTGCACTCCGTGCTTTCGGTCGTAAACCTTTTACGATTAACTCCCTAAGTGCCGTAATTCGCTCGCATCTAAAAAAACCTCAAGTGTGCTGCTTTTTTTGATTATCAAATAACACACGCACACAAATTTGGCTAAATATTTCATATTTTATATTTGTTCGATATCGCAGTCTCACTAGCACACTCTTTCATTCATTGCATCAAATTCTGAACAGATTCATTTAACAACTACTACTTGCAAACAATTGATTGAAAAGCGTGTTGAAGCGTGTGCAAAAGCAAAATGCCAACGGTGAACTCGATCTGAAATCAAACGAATGTACGCAATCTTCTC